AGGCCCAGAGAGAGAGAGAGAGCGGGTAAGGCCCAGAGAGAGAGAGAGAGCGGGTAAGGCCCAGAGAGAGAGAGAGAGCGGGTAAGGCCCAGAGAGAGAGAGAGCAGGTGAGGCCCAGAGAGAGAGAGCGGGTAAGGCCCAGAGAGAGAGAGAGAGCGGGTAAGGCCCAGAGAGAGAGAGAGCGGGTAAGGCCCAGAGAGAGAGAGAGAGCGGATAAGGCCCAGAGAGAGAGAGAGAGAGCGGGTAAGGCCCAGAGAGAGAGAGAGCGGGTGAGGCCCAGAGAGAGAGAGAGCAGGTAAGGCCCAGAGAGAGAGAGAGCGGGTGAGGCTGTCCTGGGGACAGGAGGCAGCTGAGATCACCCAGGGTGAGGCAGCAGAGTAAGGGAAGGTTGAGGGTAGAGCAGGGACCTGGCTGCTCACGCCGCACACTATCACAGCATTAGGTACGATCATATGTGACATGATGTGTATTAGTTACGATAAATAAAAACAGCAGTGATGTCTACTATTTATCAGACACTATTTTAAGCACTTTACATTTCACATATTAACTCACAGTTTTCACAACAACCTAGTGTGGGGGCTACTCTTCCTTTACTGAAGAGACTGAGCATATACAAAAGTGACTTGCTCAAGGTCATGCCATTAAAAGGGGTGCTTCAGGCACCAGGGTCCAGTTTGCTTTAATTCCAGTTCTGAGCTCCCAAGACCTATATGCTGTACTGGCTTTAGACATGTCAAGTCTTTTGTTCCCGACAAATACTCTGAAAGATCCTCGAGGAACGGTGGGGAATTGTGTCTTATCCTTCTGTCTGCCTTATGCAGCCAAAGCCAAATGCAAAATATGGAATACTTTAATAAATGTACTAAGCTTCGTTAAAATAATAAACACCTATAAATTTAAATTGAATAACACAACTTTATTGCTTGCAAGTGATTCGATGATGATGCTAATGACAATTTCTTAGAAATGAAATGCTTTATAACTTTGAAATTTTGCTATTTTTTAAAAAATATCCCAGACAATCATTCCCTAGATGCAGGAAATGATGGTAAGTGAAATGCTGGGCTTGGCTCCGGCGGCCCAGTGGTTATGGCGCTGGGCACATACACGGGGGCTGGTGGCTTCGAACCCCGCCTGGGCCAGCTAAACAACAAAGACAACTACAACA